TGTCTGTCGACACGGAGAACGGGCTTGTTCACCGGCACATGGACCAGCTCAAGCGGAAAAGCATCGAAGAACCGCCGAGTCCAGAGGCTCTCACTAGCCCCCAGATAAGCCCGGACTCTCCGGTACAAGACTGTGAAGCTCCAGCGGCTACTGGCCCCGGTCTTCCGGGCCACCCGCCCCCAGAGCTAAGACGTTCCACACGTATCAAGAAGCCAGTGGAGCGTTATGGATTCTAAGGAAGAAGGAATGCCACGAACTGTTCGCCACCGCTAAACAAGCGCTGCCAGTCTACGCTGCGCGCGCCTTCTATCTTATCTCCCTCTTCCCCTTCCCTTACCTTTCGTTCTTATAAAAACCCAAGCCGGACAATAAACGCTCGCTTTTTGCCCTGGCCACTCTGTTCGTGCATTTCGGGGCGCGGCCCAGCCGCGGGGCCGGTTATAACAGTAGGGCACGTATAACATCTGTATCTTCTCTCTCACTTCTTTTTTCTCTATCTCTTCAGTTCTTTTCAACGTAATATGTTTCTGCTTATATAGTGTCGTAGAAGCACCCAGTGCATTATTAAAGCCAGTGTAAAATTGCCTCTAGCGTGTGTAAAAAAATATACTGACATGATTTCGAAGTGGTTAGTGCATAAGTGTGGTGTTTGCGTATACTGGTTGAAGAAACTTTCCTTTGACCATGAACCCGGAAGCGCAGAACCAGCTGTCTTTACTAAAGTGACCTTACTAAACACCCCACTCGGTACAGTCTGCACGAGGTATGATTACGAAAGACAAATGCACGTATTGTGGCTCTGGCCGTATGAGCTGTGCAGTCTGTTTTGCAGCATGCGCGTTCATTAAAGAAAACGTAGGTACTACCTTCTTCATAGGAATCGGTAAAATGCTAAAGTAAAATGTGTCCTTACAGAAGTAGTTTAATGTTTACTGTAAATTATTGTGAGAGAGCTGCGCAAAGTATATTGATGTTCGACAGCTTTAGCACCCCTTAACACCGATGCATCCACGTTGATGTTTAGTCATACAGCTCCATCACGATGACTAAAGTCCATCATTTATGATAATTAGCTTTTTTAAGTTTTCGGTAGTAATGCTAAGCTCTTGCTAGAGATTTTAAGTTTTTGCCAGTAGAACTCAGTATGGCTAAGCTTGCCTATTCTTCTGCGGTTTCAGTCAGTTCCCCACACAACGAACGTGTAACGTGGCTTTGGCCGGAACTTAGACCATTTTTTGTTCCCCTTGGGTTGCGTCCTTGCCTTTTGATCAACATGTAACAGGACTAGCTGTTGCGTAATGCTGAGATTTAGTTCACTCGACGAGCCATTACGTGATTCTTGGCGAGAACATATCGAGTTACCAGCTGTTAAGTGGTTTTAGTCACGTGTAAATTGTGCAACAGTCGCTTGACGTCACGAAATTTGATGCTACGTCACTAAAAACCACGTGACATCACGTAATAATTAGTCGCATGCTAAAATCACGTGAAATATCAAAACTAGTCACATGCAAAAATTACTTAAATATCATAATTAGTTACATGACTAAAACCCCGGAACATTACGTCACATCTAGTCCAATGTGACAACATACAGTCGCGCGAATAAAATTCCGCAACATCGCGTAGTAGCTGGTGGCGTGTCATGTTCCCGCCAAAAGTCACGTTAGGCATAGTCCTGTGACTCGAATCCCAACACGTAGCAGGTAGTCAGGTGGCATGTCCAGCCAAGTCTAGCCGATTGTAACCATACGTGGTATTACTAGCAAAGATATAGCCTCTCAAACGAAATATTGGCTAGCAAAACGTAGCTGGTTACACACAGCTAGGTTAGATGGTTCTAGCAAACTAAGATTCTCTGGTAAAAGCTAGGCATTACTAGCAAAACTCGGCTAACTCCTACCATGGCTGTAGTTACACTTTGCTAGGTTACATCGTTCCATCCTTTCGCCAGTTGTGCAAACTTTGCACTTTTTCAAAGACCGGAACAAGACAGTGAGCTTTGTGAACTAATATTACTTAGTAATGATGGCTTGTTATCATAAGTGAGTATTTTAAACAAACTACCAATGCATGGTTGTGGTACATTTCAGTGTGATTTTAGCTTGCCTTTTTTAGTGCGTAGGAGGTAGAACTTTTCGAAGCCCTCCACTATGGCGTCTTTGATAATTTTATCGTGGTTTTTGGACGCCAAATTCCCAAAATAATTGTAGATATCTCATGCGCGATCTAGTATTGCTCGTTGTGCAGTATTTGAAATACTGTTGAGCGGTCACAGTAGACCATTATTGGTGGCGCGCGCGTCCAGCCGGAAAGCACCACGAAATAGTACAGTAGCATGTAAACAGCTGAAAATGTCTATCTCTGCGGAAAAGTTTAGCGTAATGTTGAGAAAAGAATTTTAAGTAGAAATAAGTACTATTCAGCTTCTCTAATTTACATTCACACTGCCATGTAACAAAAGTCCTTGCACCTCGGAATGGGAATTCGAGGGCTTACTTCTTTGTTCGACACGACCAGAATCATGTAACACAACATTATTTATATGCGTTCGCGTAGTATTTTCCAACAACAAAATTCGGGCGAATCTGTCACTGACGCAATGACAGAACAATTTTTCGCAGTTTCAGCAGTGAAATTGTTAAGGCTGTCGGCAACTTCTGCTTTATCGCGAAGGAACTCTCATAATCATCACGAACCTCATGCGCTACATTCGCTCTCTTTACAATAAAACTCTTTAAGCTACGGGGAACTTTGAATTTACCGTGCAACACTCGTCAGGTGGGTATGCGCCCCCTGTAATTGGGCTAGCTAACGTGTACTACCGATTAAGGCGTCAAACGAAAACGAACGTATGAAACAGAGAAAGAAAAGAAAGAAATAGACAGAGAGAAAGCAATAGAAAAATAATAGAAATAGAAAGAAAAAATAAGAGAAATAAGAGAATAAATGCGTAAAAATATAGAAACACAAAGGAAGGCATAAAAAGAGCGATAGGTATAGAAGGATACGGACATGAAAAGAGATAAGAGAAAGACAGATCAATACGAAAAGAGAAGTAAAATGAAGAAAACAGAAAAAAGCGGCGATAGAAGGAGGCACAAATAAAGCTAGAATGACATACAAAAAAAAACAGAAGACAAAGATGTAGTTATTATAAGCACTAAAAATCACAAGAAAAACAGGGGAAATGAGAGAAAAATAAAGGGGAATAAGAAAAGAGAAACAAAGAGTAAGAGGGAGAGAGTAAGAGCGAAAAAACGGGAAATACAGAAAGTGCGAGAGAAAAATAAAGAGAGAAAGAAACAAACAGAAAGAAACAGATACAAAAATGAGATACATGAAACACGGAAAAAGGTAAAGAGAAGAAAAGAAAATAAGGAATGCGATTAAGCTGTGTACTTTCTTCAGGCTTGACACCACTTGTATGAAGCTGCTACAGTATTTATTAAAGTATTTCTTACTTATTATCATGGCGCGTAGGTTACGGGATCGAATCCCAGTGATGGCGGCCACATTTTTGATGGAGGCGAAGATGCTTGAGGCCCGTGTGTTTTGATTTAGATGCAAGTATGTCGAAATTTCCGGAGCTCTTCACTATGGCGTCTCTTATAATCATATCGTGGTTTTTGGACGTTAATACCCAACAATTATTGCTCTTATTACTTATTCTCAAGGCTCTCATATTTACAATCACTGAAGTTAATATAGTCGACTGCTATTCTGAATTCTAGCTCATGATTAGAGAAAATACAAAACCAGCGAACACATTTAGTCATCTCGCTTTAATTCATCTAGACAGAGATAGAATAGAGCCTACGTGACATACATAGCACCCATAAACAATATTGAGATAGAGGAGCAACTCTAAAATGGCATTCTATAAACTTTACAAAAGCCAATATTTCTTCATTTATTTGCCCCAATGCGATATAGATTGTTTCCTGCTCGCTGTTCTGCTAACCTGTCTAGCTCTATTCAATTTATTACGAAGCCTCTTTATTTATTGAGCACATCCCTTCTAAGTGCTCTTTCTCGCTAGCTCAATCAGTCAATGTTGTACGTGCGTATAGAATGGGTTTAGGAATCGCGAAGAGCTGAAAATCTTGGCGAGCAATGTGTCTTTATGGTAAACAGGAATGAGACACGTGCGGGAAATATTCATGAAACGGAACCACTCTTGAGTCCTAAAGGAGGTCATACCGCATACAGAATAACCTAGTCGAGCTCATCTACGACTCTGAACAAAGAAAGGAAGAAAAAAGTTCAAATCACCGTATTTCTGGTTTTCATTACCTCTCCGTTGTGCACGCCGAAATTCGAATTCAAGACACTCTCGCGGAAAGAAAAACTGTTTTCGGTTCCATCTCTGGCACAATCTCATTAGCTGTTCGCAAAGCTTACTACCTTGTTGCTCGTGTTTTGAAATTTCGAGGAGCAATCAATATTCGTTTAGCGCGCGACTTCTGCCTTTTGCGATTCTTCCAAGCGCGGGAGAGACAGCGTGGTTATGAGGCGCGAAATCGCGGGATAAGGGCTCAGTTTAGTTCCAACGAATCGGATGATGAAGGTGTCTGGACTTGTTTGTCTGCACATCACCCTGCTCGTGGCCTTCCAAGTTAACCGAGAAAAACTATAATACGAACACACACACACAATTTCAGTAGAAAAATGAAACAAAAGTAGAAAAATGAGAGAGAGAAAAGAATGATGTCCTCGTACATAGAAGCAGAGGGTCTCACAAAAGGGAAGCCTTCACTGATTATGTCCACCGCTCAGAGGAACGAACAGAGACGCGACGTCATCCCGTCCGTTCTTCTCTCGAAGAGTCGGTTGGTGTGGCACGAGGCGCACACAGAACAAAATGAAAGAGAACGAAGAAGCGAGCTTACGACGAGAAAAAACATGCGTTGTAAACAGAATAAGGCGAAACAGGCATAAGTAATACCGCCTGCTCGAGACACAATTCCCTAAGAAGAGGCCACGGTGACGCGATAGACCTAAAGGCAGGATGCGGAGCGCAGAGTGGAGGAAGAGGCGGATGGAGGCTGTCGCGAGTGCGAGGCCGAGAAGGCTTGTTCCTCGGAAGCTAGGCGAGGATTCTGCGCGGAAAAAGAAAATAATAAAAAAGCAAAGAAACAAACAAAAAAACTCCTACTGCCACCTAGAATGGGAGGAGCGCGTTCCGGCGTGATTGCCTGAAAGCGCTCCGCTATAGACTTGTTGGCCGGAAAAAAAGAGGAAAATCGACAAGAAAAAAAGGGGGTAGATGAAGAAAAGCAGTCTTGAATCGTACAAAAGAACTCGGCGCGCAATTTTCTTCGTCGTGTCTCTTTCGTTTCGCGCAAGCGTTCTGCAATTACCGTTATAAGAGCATCTGAATGTGCTTCGAGCGCAACCTCGTCGTTTAGTATACACTGCGCGTTGTCTTACACGAATTTTGGCTTGCGTCAAAGCTTGTGATTTCTTTTACTGTCCCCTCCTTTTTTTAGCATACATAGCATACGCCACTTCGCCGGAAAGAATCAAAAAGAGAAGAAAGTGACAGTGCAAAGAAATAACAGTGCTGAGTGAGTTAAGGTGCAAGAAAGCCAGGCAAGTGGTTTATAGAACGCTTTAGAAAGAATATAGCGCTCTTGGTTTGCTTGACGACGTGCGTACAACGGTGCCTGTGTACGGCAAAATTAAGTGCTCCCGTGGAGTAACTTTGTGGCAAGAAAGTTATTTTCCACCGCATAGCACAGAAAAGTTGGTATCAGTGCGCAGTACAAGACAAATATTACGAGCGTGCATGGAAACAGGTCGCGATTCAATTACAAAAGGGAAAAGCGGTGCATAGGAAGAGATAGCGGTGGCACTGAGACGAAGCCGTGTGTGGACCAGACGTGTGGCGAGGCGAGAAGGTGACGTTAACTGAGGCAGGAGACCTGTTTCACGGGCAAGGGAGTGATGGAGCAGTTGAGCGTTTGCTGGGAAATTATCAAACGGCGCTGTTTGGGATTGCCAAAAAAGTGGTTGATTAGTAGTGTGCTGATTAGTGACGCGTGCAAGAGAGAGAGAGAGACACTGGTTACTCAAATTTAAGTGAAATGATAAGAAAAGCAAGATCTAAGCAGCAATGCAGTGAGACATTCAGCTGTGCAGTGAGCCTTCGGAAGCTGAAGAGGCTTGAAGGTAGGTCACGAAGCGTGGTTAGGATTTGTGAGTCATGGTGAAGCAGCCAGCAAGCCAGAGGACAACGATGCGGCAGTTGTGAGGTGGCAGGGGTGTCTATCTTCTCGCAGACGTCAAAGAAGTGACGGCGACTCACGGGCGACCCGGGCCTCTTGATTGTGTACTTGGGCCAACTGTCAAAGGCGGAGCGTGGTGGCACCCAGACCTCGGTGCCAGCGCGACTTGCACCACCACCGCCACCATGACTCGGCGGAGAAGGGGAGGACGGCGCGAGTGGAGAGGAAGGCATACCGTGAGCACGGGTCGCCACGAAGTCGATGTCGGCGTACTCCGTGGGCGGCTCGTGAGGGCCCGTCAGCGGGGGCGAGCTCACCACGGCGCGACAGCCCGACCTCGAAAGCGACCGGCTGAACGTGGACTGCGTGCTCGGAGGCAGGCTCAGCTCGGCGTACGTCAGGTCTTCGGCGCGCTGGTCGCCGGCAGCAGAGAGGCACGAGTGGGGTAGAGAGGGTGAAGGAGAGAGAAAGAAGATGAAAAAAGAGGTGTAGTGACGGAAGAGGCAATCGTTAAAGAGACAATAAAGCGATAAAAATATATGTTTAGATTGATTATTTGTACTCTGAAATATCCAGCGTTGTTATTGAACCATTATTTGTTTAGTTTACTCAAGACGGATAAAATCAAGTGTAAAGTTCTATTTTTAAATTTTGCACCAATATTGCTTCCCATGGCGTCACAAATTTCAAACTTTTCTTTTTCATCGTCACATTTGCTGGGCAGAATTTCCTGAATCATCGCATGTTAAGTCCATGACCTTTAGAGGGAAATATACTTCATTTTGAAGCTCTGAAGTTCACAGTGCGAGCCTCAAGATTGTGCTGCCACCAGCTATTCCTGTTTTGTACGTTTTATTGTTCACCAAACATGTTGCGGCGGCAGGCGGCCTGCTAATGGAATTGTGCAAGGGTCATTTACTAATATTGGGAAAGTCATTTTTCTCTTTAGCGTCTCTTTAACGAAGAAATAGAAAAGGCATAGACAGGGCAGCCATGCAGAGGATAGCCAGAAAGGGCTTGAAAGTGTCTTGAAGCCATATTGACCATATGTTTAAACCCACGCGAGTGCCTTCAGTATGGGCTTGTTAATGAGCGCGTGGCTTGTCATAAATATCATTCCTAGATTAAGAAAAGAAAAGAACAGTGACACATCTTAAAGCCTTCTTTCATGCATTCGCTCTTTCCTGTTGATGTGGAGATTATGTAGCTTTAAAAATACCGAACCGCGTATATTTCTGGGGAAGCGATGATATAAAGGATTATAAAATGCTTCTTTAGTTTCCATGCAGATTATTTTTCAATTTTTCTCTCGTCAAAAAACATGAACAAAACGTTCAAAACAAGATATTTGTGGCAAAAAGTCGGCATCATTGGTCAAAATATTAGGGCTAATAGAGTGCCCACATATCTTGGAGCTCCACTTCTATCCTGAGCTGTGCACTGAAGGGTCTACATTGTTCTCTTCATTACGGTGTATGTTTTTTGTAAAACAGCATAATCTGTGAGAAGTAAGTGCTTTGGGCTAAATACTTCATTATAGCTATATCAAGTATCCTCGCCTTTTGTGAAGAACTTCAAAATATAACAGAGCCAACGAAGACTGAACACAGGGAGGTCTACAAAAGCTCTACTTACTGCTTTTGCTAAACTGATAGTAGCTATATAGTTTCCATGGCTATGCCTTTTCAAATCACTGATCTCAATGACAACATGATTGTGCGTTTTTAACTTAATAACCTGCATTTTTAAAAGGACACCATTCATAATATTTGTTTCTACTAGTTTACCAACACATGGCAAGAAATATTTTTGGCTAGCTATACGAGCAACTCCCGGCCATATCTGTGTTACTGATCGCGCTTCCACAGCTACTGAGCCTTTAGCAATATGTAAGAAATGAACCTTACAAATACGATACACGGCGACTAACTGTTGTCTGAAGCGTCGTTGGATTATGTAACAAAAAAGCCTATAAATTACCTGCTTTGGCATGTAGCAGTTGGCAGATAACGTGGGCGTGAAACTCTCTGGATACTTTTTCTCAGACCCGTTTTCGTAAGATGAAATTCGATCCGTGATGTGCGGTTCGACGTACTTCATTTCAATATCCGAGTAGTTCGAACCTGAAACTGAAGAATAGGGACACATTTTCAACTTTACATGAATTACAAGCACGACAAAGCAACTACAGAAACAGTAGATTGTACTAAACCACCACATAGTTGACGTTGCACTCATGCAGGTTTCATGAATCATGTTGAAAACGCCACCTGAACACTTGCAGTGCATTAGGGCAAAGATGGTTGGCTTCACACTCAAGGATTACGAAATGGAGCAGGCTAGGCTACACTTTCACACCCTTTTATCTACACTATAGCACACGTAAGTGTAATGGCCTTATAAAAGTGCCACAACCACCACTAATGATAATATTATATTGACGCTCGCCTAGACAAATGAATTTGTTGTAGCTGTCTTTGCCGCATAAAAGGTCACATTGAGGCGATGCACGCTTTACAGGCATTTAGGAATAGTAGCGAGCCTTGTGATAATCGGGCATACCGCGAAAACCGGACGTTTGCGCTTGTGCAAGGGTACTTCAAATATATATACACTCGCCTCCCGTTGCGCATTGAAAAAGCTGAATCACAACTGGTGTAATTAGTGTGAAAGCCCAGCTTGCAGTTTGTACAAAGTCCCCTAGCACTATGCTTTGAAGCTCATGAAAACAAATACAGCTACACAAGCTGCACTCGCTTAACTGTGTCCTGGATGATGGAACAGATCCTTCAATCGGCCACGACTACGCTTGATGTTTCCCTGATTACCAATGGCTTCGTGAAGTTGCCTACAGAAATCTTCAGGGCCTCGTATTACACGGCTGGTAAGATTGAGTGCCGTTTCAGAAATGCATGTTTTGTAGATATTGGCATCTTGGTCCACACCATGGCCTGCTCACTTAAGTTTAGAAATTCAAAATGGCTTTCTGGAAGGTGCTGCGTGTAGAGGAATGCAAGAAGAAATGCCACAGAAAGGTAAGGCGAGGTGGTTGCACCAGCTTGCGAGTATGATCGATTGCACACGATCAAAGGCACTTCACGGGACGAATACCATGCGGCCAACATATCGTTGCACTTCAGAGAATGAGCTATGAGACCCCGAGTCGTGCGCTCCTTTCCAGTATTTTGTGCCCGCATCGAAGATATACGAGACTGTCTCCATCTCCTTAAGAAGTATTCGATCTCAGTGCCCGTGTGATCATGCGATAAGGGCAAACGTGAGGAGGAGAACTTACCAATCCCGAGATTCCTTGGCGGGATAATATCTGGGCATTTGTCTTCGACTTCAGTAATGTCCACAATTTCCTTCTTCAAAGGCGTGTGTGACCTTGGAAGAAAAGTTGAAGGCAATGGTCCTTAATTTTGATGACGCTTCTAAGCATGATAATAAAATAACAAAGTACTTCCTTGCCCCAATCCCACAACTCTTCAAACAAACTATATTATAAGTTGAATAATATTCGCAGAAATATCAATGGATGTAGCATGAAATCACTTTTTGAGCACCATGTTTGGCATATTAGAGTTTCTTTATTCTATCGGAAAGATTCAAATTACAGAGCCATTGTCGTAGTCAGAAGATAATTCAGAATCTTGATCACGGTAGTCAAGAAAAAATGACACCTTTTTAGGATTTAACTGCAAACCATACGTGCCTTAAGTTAAAAAGACATTTTTCTGCAGGGAGCCTATTTGGGCGTACCAGTCAATAGATAAGCTTAGTTCAAGATTGATCAATATTTATCGCAGTTTTAGTTCACGAAGACGTTAGTAAATACGAAAGATTACCGGAAACACTATCGCTTGATTGCGTAGAAATTCAGATGTGCGTGTAAGAATATTCCTTTTTTAGAATACATTGGCAAATGGCAGGAAATCGAACTTACATCGCTAGAAGCCCGCTTCAGATTTTTCTGTATTTGAGCAAGTGTGCTTGCGTAATCCATAATTTCCAACCATTACCCGATCATTTTCAACTGCGTTCGCTATTTGAGTATATATTCAAAGTTCATTCAAAGGCTTGTGAACAATGTTCGCCTCTTAAAGACATTGATGCCATAAAAAGGGCGAATTATCAACTACACGTTTGCACCAAGGAACCACAAAATGAACAATAATGCAGGCAAGAAAGGATCAGATGGCAGTTACTGTTTGCAGAATCACCTGCTAGAATTCAACGTATGCACTTACTTGTCGTCTTCTTTTCTTCTTTTGGCAGCTGCAGAAAGCATAGGAAGAATGAATATAACGGGAAGGCAGGTTTTCATGTCAGAATGGAAGACAAGCCACAAGTTCTCTACACTTTTAACAGCGTGGAGCATTGTACACCTGTTTTTGTGTGCTTTCAAACGCACCTGATGAGACTAAACGTCCAAGTGAAATGCGCAATATGTACTGGGATGTTGCAACTGACAAGTGACAAGCTGTATAGACATTTGTTGCAGCTCCCAGGTGCGTGTGCTGCCGAATGTGCTTTGTTTATCTCTCTTCTCTCTCTGCTCTCTATCTTTCGTCTCCCTATCCCTCTCCCATGCGCAGGGTAGGAAACCGGCTGCCTATAGGCTGGTTAACCTCCCCGTCGTTCTTTTCCTCCTATTTTTCCTTCCTTTCTTTTCCATAATGGTGTAAAGATACAAGCTTCACTTCACTTTAGGTCATTCTGTATTCCCAGTGTCCTGCATCATATTCTATAAGACATAACCAGGTGGGGCCTATAGTTATGCACTGTATGAAAAACGTACTTTAGTATCACATTGTAATGCACCAGAGCTGTGCAGAAATATTAAGAAAAGTGCTCCGGAATACATATACTGAAGTACATGCGCTGGAAGTAAAAAATCCAGATACTTAGATAGATTTGTGTTTGATGTAACGGTGTATTTCCAAATACGTTTTCAAATTCGATAAAAGATATCGTGGAATACATGAATGCAAATACTGCAATACTTTTTTTAGTGATGCACGTATACTTCGCAAAAGTATTTTTAAACGTGCGACATAATGTTGTGAATGATCTTGAAGCGCATTGAAACTTTGAAAAAAATATATATACTACTGATTCACTAACACTAGTTTCTACAGTGAGAGCATATGCTTATTTGCCACAAAAATATGGTTTGCTGAGATTGTTCTCCCTTTAACGGTATATGGGCAATAGCAGCTTCTCAGATATGATTTTTGCTGGACAGTGTAGGTAAGGCTTCAACAATATACTCGTGAACTTCCCAAGTGGGTGGTCTTCGGAAAAAAAAACTTAGGGCTGCTGCAGTAGCCTTAAAAAAAGGGACTTTGTATGCCTCTGTGGTTCTGAGGTAAATGGCGTCGAGAGCTTTGTCACGCGGGTCTCTCTGTGAGTGTGGGGAACCCTTCGTTGCTCCCTCTGTGTCACCGAATGGCGGCATGCCTTTTCTGGGTTTAGTAAAAAAAAAGTCATTGTCACCTCGCGTCTGTATTAGGCGTCTGTACTATCATATCCAAGGGTCAACGCGCACGCGATATTAAAAGTGTCGAAAGTGCACCTCATTATTGAATATGGTTAGAAAGACGATAAACTTAAGCGTCCGTAAACTAAAGAATAGTTCTACTTCGCCTGTGCTTTTCGTGAATACATTTGATAGTGAAGAATGTACCTGATTTCCTCTTCCCAGTTTTCACTTTCATCACAATGATGATGATGATGCCGATGAAGACGAGAAGTGCAAACACGCCAACCAAGATTCCTAGCAGTGGACTGGATGCCGACACCATCGCAGCCTCACCTGGAAGTAGCCCTGATTGTGCGCAAAAAATGAACAAAAAAACGAATGATTCAGAATTTCTTTATTTAAAAATTTATCAAGGCTAGTTCATCGCCGACTCGCGGGCAGATGTTCAAAAGAAAATGCACCATGCACCTCACCAATATAAGAAGATATCCTTACGCCACATCACGCACAAAGAAGTTATTTTGGTATAACTACTACAGCTTTGTGTTTTAGTTTAGTAAGCTTGTTAGTAAAGCTTGCTTACAATTACAATACCGATTATCAAAAGTTTATTTCGGCTTAGAAAACAAAAATCAAGAAGAAAATCTCATTAACGTGTACAATAGCACGGAATAAGGAAGGCCACGGACAATATTGCATTTCACCTTAATATAAAATAGTAATAAAAATTCTATTTGGGGTTACAAAATCATTGCAGCTATGAGACATGTCTAAGTAGCTATATACCTTCGTAAAACTATTATTTAAGCAAGAACGCTACATGTTCATTACGTAATACAATATGAATGGTCGATGAGTTGAAACACGTCAAAGATAAACTCTGCCCTTGGTTGGCAAAAAAAAATTCTTGACAAATAGGCTTAGACGTCGTCTCAGTGGCGCGGTGCTATATCAATGTCACAAAGCGCTGACCGTGAAATAAAAACGTCATCAGTTATTGCGCCAGTGATCCGTTACGCCACCGAAGTGAAAGTGCGCAGGTGTCAGCATCAAAGTAGCTTACTATATTGAACATAATAAGGAGGTGTTGGTTAACCACTGATCTGTCACGTGAGTAATTAATTGATAGCTCTTCCCTTTGCTTCTTACCATAACGTAAAGGATCTTGGCATACAGAAATCTTTCGAACAATGCTTGCATTATTTAGTAAGATTGTGTCGTTTGGTAATTCAGGAGGTTAGTGTACATTGAGTTCAGTTGGGCTAATAAATTAACTCTCTATTTACATGAAGTGTCTACATTGTCAAGGCATAAGGACTACGACTGTATGTCCCCTATGTTAGTTCCTAGTGGCGCCAGCACGTCAGACACTCGCCACAGCTGATGTTACGTCGACATGGGAACTTCGCCGAAAAGAAGTGTAAACAAAAGCAGTGAACAACCGTTATATTAGTGCACTAAGGCACATTTTCATTAGTGGCCTTTTGCTATGATTACTTCGCAGTGCTATGTTTTCCTTTGACGTTAATAAAAAATAAACTAATCGAAAGTAAACGTTTTCTTGAGAACATACAGCAGGCCCGGGGCATCCAGCCGAGGGTGCCCCGGGCCGCATGCAAAGAATGAAAACTATTACTTAAGTAATTTCATTACACTACAAGCGAACCAAGTCATTGTGTATAGCCCCACCGTGGTGGTCTAGTGGCTAACATACTCGTCTACTGATCCGCAGGTCGCGGAATTGAATCCCGGCTGCGGCGGCTGCATTTTCGATGGAGGCGAAAAAGCTGCAGGCCAGTGTGTTGAAATTTGAGTGCACGTTAAAGAACCCCAGGCAGTCAAAATTTTTGGGGTCCTCCACTATGGCGTCTTTCAAACTTCTATGGTGTTTTTTTTTAGACCATTAAACACCACATATGAATCATTATATTATTAATATATTCATTTGTGAATGTGATTGCGCTAAACAGCCCGTTTCGCAGAAATTCTGGTGTTGGTGTTGGTGTCAGCATCCGCGTCGTTGGTTGTGAGCGAAAAATTTTAATCTTGAGCGTGACTGAAAATTCAAGGAAGATGAAAAAAAAGTAATAAAAAATTCTAGGTCTGAGTGGACATCAAACCCGAGTCATTTAGCGTGTCAAGCGGATGTTCTGCCGCAGAGCCTCGTGCCTGCTTGTGAATACAGTGAAAATAACTTACTCTGTTTGCAAATGCAGTGAAAGTAACTTTCATGTTTTACAAACACGCGCGTCTTGTATGCAGCTTCACAATACAAGATGTACTATCGCAGCAATAATGCGTGATGCAAGCGTACATTGACATCGGACGTCAGAACATGGGATTATCATGACTTCATGGCTTAAAACCGGTCACCTACAACAGAAGGTACACACGTTACTGCACCCTATTCCTTCAAAGCGACGTAGTGGGTGCAGAGCAAGTTCGAAAAGATTTCATACAGAGTGTATTTGAAGTATGCACTAAGGACGGGATATCACTATCGCGTTCAACTCTTAAAAGCTATGCTTAAGGGTCCCGCAATTTTCGCCTTTATGCAGCAGAATTCAAGCCATTTATTACAAATGTCCTTCAAATGTGAGCAATATTTCAAGCAGGATTGTTAAGAAAAATGTCTGGTAAGGAATAATGCACTCAAATTCTTGACTGGCATTGCAAAAAATGTACGAAGCGCACTTTGAAACGCCTTTGCTATGCCATAGGCTTGAACGTCAATACCTCTTGATCATTTGACGTCGGTTGCTAAGAATTTTCATGGAGCGCATCGGAATTGCGTAAGGTCACTGCACTGTTTGAGTTGGCATATTTTTCAATAAAACTTTTTCAATGGGCAACCGAGAAAAGATGGGCTAGAAATACTAACAAGATTGAAGTGGTCTAGAGAAAAGAGAACTAAATCTTGCTATATTATTTGTTATGCCTAGTGCTCTAAATATTCTATTAGTTCATCACATTATTTTTTATGCCCTCTTACGTTAGGGAGTCACTATGTGCCAGGTAACAGAGAATGTAATGTTGTTCAATGAATACAGGTAAAGCAAACACAAAGGCACCTTGTTTGCATACGCACATGCGCAAAGCGCCAGAGGTAGGCTGTCCTTTTCAGACAGTCTGGCGCAAAGGAAACGAGCAGTGAGAGTGAGTGGGACCGGACAAGGTTTTGTTAAGGACAGTATGGAGAGTTGTAAGTAAGACGTACTGTGATGGATTAAGGCGCAAGAAAGAAAAAAGTAGCTCTCAAATGCACAATCTGGGTACAGATTTTTTTCTAGTAGCGTTTTTCTACGAGTAAATTTTTTTCGAACACTCCACTGTTGTCCCAAGCTCGAAAAAAAAGAGCCTTTTTTTCTCTTGAGTTTTGTATGAAATAATACGAATCTGACTGAAAACCGACATAAAATGAGGGCAAAAAAAGTATAGGGGACGTTGTTTGGACCCTTTTAACTTTATTGCCGTAAATGTGATAAGAAGCTAATGTAATCAAAGTGGACGTAAAGAAAGCTACGAATTGTTAGAGTCCGAACCTGGGACATTCGAATAGCGCAAAAACCCATTGAGCTCTTGATATTCTTTAATTTTTTAGAAATTAATCATAATTATTGCATTGCTGCTAAAAGACAACAATTAACGTCTTATGAACATTTCTTCACTTTTTTGCCTGTTTTCATTATGGCTGTCACTTAGAAAAAAAAACGCGTTCTCGACAACTTCTCGTTTAGAGTATAGAGGAAGGGAGCAAGCAGACGCAGACCCCGACTGTAGGTGGACGAAGAACAGGTAGTAGACTGCCGAAAGTATATTAGTTTAAGCATTCAGTAGAAAAAGAAATACACTTGAAAATCGGGAATGAAGCGTGAACAGAACATGAATACAACAAAACAAAAGCCATCTAAAAGCAGACAAACAAAGAAACAAATAAACAAAAACGCTGGTTCCTGCCTATGAGTTCAGGTCTTGACCGAGACGAGCGTGGAGAGGGCGAGAGGCACGGCCGTGCTGATGCCTTTCTCGTTGAGTGCGAAGACGGAGAGGGTGACGCTGGAGCCCGGCTCGAGGTCGCCCACTTCGAAGAGCGGGTCGCTCGAAACGATACGCGCCCGCAGCCTGCCTTCCACGTACACGTCGGCCCGGAAGTGCACAGGCAGCGGCCAAGGCTGCAGCGATCGCTCGCAGCGAACGGTCAGGCTAGTGGCCGTTACGGACGGAACGCTGCAGTTCACCGGGGGGTTCGGGGGGCCTGGAGTATTCATGAGCACACGCTCTCCATAAGACAGTCTCTCCACTCCTGTGGCAGCGAATTCGTCATGCTTTATTTTTTCTTACTTTAGTGTTTTCTATCGTATGTGCCCTGAGCCGTCTGGCTATTGTATTCCGCTTACAATGCTTCTAGAGTCAGAACTGCCAAAATAATCTGCTTTAACTAAGGATGCTAGCTTAATGCACGTGTCCACCCCTTTTCTAGTGAAACACTTTTAAGATATTTCTTGGTCTATTTATAACGAGGCCTCTTCCTGCACTCAGTTTAGGCATATTTCGTGCGAAATATTTAGCATCGATTCTATGTATTGGATAGACCCCATACTGTGGTTTCGAAATTCGAAATAAAATAACAAAAAATGTTTTCAGACACACAGAAACAAAGATGAAAAGATAACAAGCCGAGAAGGGCCATATAAAATAAAACAGAGCTTCATGATACTTACAGTCTGGGCTTCACGTTACTGCGTCTGCACAGTTTTTCTTTCGTAAAAGAAGCACTCCTCTTCTTTTGAATGTATCATGTCTCTTAGTAATAGTGTGCCACTTTTCCCTAAGTTGAGCTATAGAGCTCTGTTATATAGGAAGTTGCCAATAGGCTTTATATTTCGCAATCGCAGAAATAATGTTTTAGCGATGAGGCGCAGATGCATTGCAAATCCAAACATTTACAAACATACACTTCTAAGCTGATCACTGGAGCAAAAAATAAAGAACAAAAAAACGCATGTATTCGGCATCGTACTTTAATAAAATACTCCGAACTTAAAAAAAAAAACGCTTTCACTGTATGTGGGCTCATTTTAATTCTGTACGGCACGCATGTCAAGGTAAGTTTGCACAAAAATTGGTGTTCAGAAAAACCCTACCAATAAACTAAGTAATTTCAAATTTTTTTAGATAAACAAGAATTATGCTCTGCTCAAGTTGCACAAAGCTGTTCTTGCTTTCTGTGCAGTTATGACGGTGACGCTCTTGAGCAGCGCTTGTCATATTTGATAAGACTATTTAGTAAGGCATCCGCTATTTAATCATGGCTTTAAAGAATTGCATTAGAGTTCTAATGAGATTGCGCCTGTGTTCTAGGGCGCCCCAAGGGCTTTGCCTTCAACCGGTCGCTTAGAGCGGTTTGTAGTGCTTGGATCAGCTCTTAAGGGGCAGAAGCCTCAATTGGTCATTAAGGCCAGACAGAAGGGAGCCACTGGTCACGCGTCACGAACTGGCCATAGTTAGGGCACTTTTCTAAAACGAAGCGGACGCTAAGGCTGGCAGGAACCTTAGCATAATTGCTTCATTATTTTAATGAGAAGAGTTTTCATCACTCATATCCGAGGCCAAAATGCAAATCAGAGAGGCAAAGCATGCATTCGCGCGCTGCATCCTATTCTTGGCTAATTAACGTTGAAAGCTAAAGCTGAGATTTTTTTTTAAATGCCTGGTTCAGAAGAGGCCGTGAGGCACAAGTTTCGCATTACTACTGCTACGACGTGGATCTTTTAAAAAAAATGTCTATTTTCTTCAAATACTAAGGTTACATAACCTTCTATTTCTCGAGGAATGCTTAATGGCTTCCTGGAGAAAATTTTTTTCATATTCCTAATGAAATACGATGCCTCTTTGCACTGGAACATTATTCCTACAGGCCTTCCATTCAATGAATGCAAACAATCTTTAATACAATGCACTGGGTGGGCACAAAGTGAAGTCAGAAATAGTGTGGCTCGCATCCATTCAATTTATGTCTCTGAAGCACTCATTATGTCCCGGCTGAAGCCAGCAGAGACAAATTCATGGAATAATAATTAGGATGCGTTATCGTATATAACACAAGTTCATTAGGAAACGTTCAGGAAGTTTTTGTTGTTCAATTAAAGCATACGCCCTGTCATTCACTATATAAAGTACATGATTGCCAGGAAGGGGAGAAGTTCTTTTAGGCGTTTGATGTACAGTATTAAGCGAAAACGGCGGAGCTTTGTGTCTCAGTACAGTTTATCCTTCATTTGATTAACTTTGAATCCTGAAAGAGTTGAGGTAATTAGAACAAGCCTAGTGTAAAATGTTGATGCCAGTCATGCCCTGAAAAGTTCGCGAAGAAATGGCAAAAACTGGTAAAGCATGCGTTATAGTCAACCAGTCAAGAATGATTTGTTTAACTTTTCCGTGAGTTTGACTTGCACGTAACGCGCCTCAACATCCTATCAAAAATAAGTAATTAATTTGCATTACTTGCGCTGTACACTTTTAAGCCTCTCGTGGTACACAGAATGACATGGCGGCTCGCCCAACTATGCATTAGTTGATGAGTGCGAAGCGGACTGGAACATCAAAGTCGGAGATATCAGATTTGAAAAAAAAAAGCACTTTAAGTACAGGCAATAAAGTACTTATCACTGCCATGCGAGTTAACGATTCGCCCCCAATTCGTTAACGTCGCTGAGAGGACATTTTTTGGTATGATTTATTTGATTATCTGGTAATCTAGCAGGAGTTAAACTTTTTTGCAATAAAGTGCTCCTATACGCTGGTGATGGCGGAAATGATCAGTAATGAAAATGATATCAGTAGAATTTTCAGCTGGGCGGACACGCTAACACAAATAATTATTCTGAACTTTTGTTTTCTTTGCACGTGTTGAGCAGAAAGTTAAAATATGTCTAGCTAACCTTCATGTGTTCCTGTCCATTTCTATGTATTTTGTCTAACTGACTGTGCGAACCACTACTGCTCACAGGTGACCAAGTAAAAAAAAAATTACTTAGGAACAAGATTAATAGACGCAGTAGCTCAGGCGTTTTCTTCTTTTTGTGTAATACTGTTTCCTTGTTTGGTCAAGGTCAATTTTACGAGTGCCTCGCTTGCTCCAAACACAAGTTTAGATAATAATCGGGGTGGTTACGCACTTGTGGTCTGGTGACTAATAAAAAAATCGGAGCTTATATCCTTGCCCACATCCTTTCTCTAAATTTCACCTCCCCATTTGCACTTCTTCGCTATGCAGTAGCATAACAAGAGCTTAGCCATACTATAGTATGTTCTGCTATGCTTCAATTTTTCCTTGCTACCTTTTTCCTTCATTTTGTCCGTCTATATCTCTCTTTAATTACCTTTTTCTTTTGTCTTTCGTGCTTACAACTTTATTTCTCTGTCTCTCCATTCTTTTCTCCCTCTCTTGCCCATAACAACGCAATCACATGTTTCCGTTTCATGGTTGCTCTGAAACTGTCACTGAAAAGCCTTCAGACCATGGTTACCCTGTTTCAATTCCCGCCACGCCAAGAAATTTCGTTTCGTTTTATTGATTTCGCCTCCTCCTCCTCCTCCTCTTCCTCCTCTATACATCTAATCTTGCTTCCCCCTGTTTTCGTTTCTCCTCCTCTCTGGCTCAAGCAAAGGTTAACTCTGAACGCTCGTGTTCCTTCTTTTTGCTTTGTTTTTGCTTCAGTGCGGCTCGATTAGCTAGCCTTTACTCTCTTCCACTTCAGGCTCTAACCTTCTTTCCCACAGCTCTCGCTCTCTCACTCTTTTTAACTCTGTTATTCCCTTCGAATGTTGCTTTTCGTTTCCCATGCTGTACTCAGTAGTGGGCTTTCCCGATTCCCGAGGCGCATACTCGCATGAGTTTTTCCTAATGACTTACGCAGAAACAGAGCTTAGGCACCAATTCTGCTATAAAAAAATCTGGGGACGATTAGGTCAGTGTAACGCAACAAATAAGCAGCTAATAACTAATGTTCTTGACATGGTGTGGCTAGTTGCCGACTGATGAAGCGAGTAAAAAAAAATCTGTGAATTTTACCGGGCCAGTGTAACGTAGCTTCCCATCAAGAAAATGGAGCAATAAAAACACATTACAACTGCTTCCCCATAACCAAGTTTATTTTAAGATTTTGAGGTTGGAGAACACTACCAGCATCTGCATTATTTTTTCTTTAAGGGGCCCTGTGACACTTTTCTTAGTAGTTATGTAATGGCTTTATTAAAAGAGCGTATTGCCCCATGAATCGAAAACTGAAAAAAATTTTACAATCCTTTCCTTTGGAGCAACGGAAAAGAGATTTACCCACAGGCACGTTTGCGAGGCCGTATGCGTTTTTCTAAAGGCAACAAAACGAATTGAGGGTAAAGTTTAGGCATAAATTTATTTTATTTCAAACGATATTAGCTTGCTCGTTTTTTATTAACTTTATTTATTTTATTTCCGTTCCATCGTTTACAAATTGGTTCTGTGTTTAAACATCCCTATCTAAATAACCCGGCTGGTAAAACAATTCGATCTCACAAATGAGGCACCGTCCGTTCCATGGCTGATCCCCCGAAAGTGGGTCGCGCCAAGACTCCGAGGAACAACCAACCAACCTACCAACCAACCATCAAGTACAAGCGGAGTTACAAAAATTTGCCGCATGCTGCAATTGCTTTCTGTTGTCTCATGTCCCATCGAAAGCACTAGAAGCGCAGCGTGGGAGGGATTGCACAGAAAGAGAAAGTAAATGGTACGCGCGTCTGATCACTTTGAGCAATTATTCATCTTTCTTTTTTTTTTGGACGCGCGGCTTTTCAGTTCCATTGTGCACGTGCACAGGGACACATGAAGGGTGTCCCTGTGGGTGTCCCGATCACGTCGTGCTCAAATCAGCCAACGGCGTTAAACTTGAGCCCATTGCGCAATGATTTCGAAGTAAAAACGTAATTTATTGAGAGAAGAGAAAGCGAGTTTTAGCTGACTAAGAATTGATTGTAAATTCCAGGCCCCATGCTGCGCTTGGCTCGCATGTTCTCGGAACCCATGACTACCGATCAGCAGTGTTTTCTGACTATGCACAAAAAAGTGTTGCAGAGCTCTTTAAGTAAGTTACGCAACTAATAAATTAAAGTTTTTTTGTTTCCTGTACACGTTGAAGTGGTTTTGACAATTTTTTTAAATTGTGAATATGGCGCTACCCCTACTAAGAATATTTTGATTATGAAATGGTGTGTGCTGATCTGATAAGCTCCTGCTATGGCAGGAGCTTTTTCTATGGCAATGCTCCTGCTATGACCATTATTAAGCCTATTTGTATTAGGTGAACACAGGCAGTTTAAAATGCTCAAGTTTTCCTAAATGCTCGCAATGTACGATTTTCAATAAATGTCTCTTAAGTTATGCCAGGTGCCGTTGGTGTCACACGCAAAAATAAATCGAGAAGTCCCCTGTCTGATTATCTGCACGCGCTGTTCTCATTTGTATTTGGTTTCTTGTTTACTTATAGTCCTGTTTACTACCCATAAAAATTCCAAAACAGCTCTTACAAGATTGTCTAGGTCCTGAGTAGCAAATAGAGAAGCGTAGGGAGCTTGGAGCTACCATTATGCACACTCTCTGATGCTGATTCTGAACCATTAACTCCTCACGGGAGTTTCTCTACGTGGCTGCTATAACTGGTCGACCATGAATGCATTCTGTCTTTTCTGATTCTTTATTTGTTCGTTTGATTAGCATCACATTGACTGCCCCCCCCCCCCCCCATCTTTTAATGCTAACTCAGTTGCCTTTGTTATTACGGCTCTTTCTCTCTCCAGCCTTCTCCAGGCGCCCAAGAGAGAAGGACTTCTATGAAAGAGCTGAACAAAAATCATCTCCAGGAATACAATAAGCGAGAGAAATAGTGTGAGAACTAGTAACATTTGCTTTGCTCACCGGCGGGGACAATGTTGAAGACACACGGGAGTCGAACCCTGACCCAGCGAGTTGGTGGCGATGCAGAGGAGTGCGCCGTAGTCAGCCTTGCGCCGAGGCGTGTAGAATGCCGAGCTGCTGCGCGGACCCGATTGGTTGAAGGCGACTATGTCGAGGCTTTCGAGGCTGCTGTTGAAGCGCCACGTGAAGCGAACGTCAGGCGGGTCAGCTTCGACGTCACACGTGACCTTGGTGATCTCGTGCCGTGCCACGTGGTACACTGTCTTCTGCTTCTCGCGACACTTGGGAGGGTCTGAGGAGGTGGAGGGGAGTAGCAGCAGAGAGGAAGAGAAAGATGGAAGGAATAATAAACAGCTGCATTTTTATGGTGTTTCCAACATAGGTCGGCAATTAAAGAGGGAGCTCACTAAGAGTCACTCGCGAAATATATTTGGCGCTTTGGGCTCACTGGAACTCGGACTCGTCGACATTTACCTCAACCGGACTTACTTGCACTCAGACTCACAACGCGATCTCGGTCTAAGTGAGTCGACTCGTGAATGAGTTCATTGAATTACTTCTAATGACAAATGGTGGATATACAATGCATTTTCCTCGCAACGCATGCATGTTTCCTACACGTAGAAATCTTAGTTTTGAAAACAACAATAGAAGACGCGGTAGTTTGTTATACAAGATAGTTGATGTATTACATTATTATATCAAGGCCGATTATCGTCAGAACATTCGCTTCAAGTAGATGTGCACTACGAAGTTACTACGGTAGCGATACCTGCCGTAAAGGAAGCGCTTAAACTAACTCGTTGCAATCTTTGAAATTTGCCAAACGTGTAACTTTTCATATCCTACCGAAGCAGCATCCACCCCTTCATCTAATCGAGTTTAAAATTAACAATAATGTAGTCTCTTACGCAGCATTTCAATCTCCGCGAGGCTTGAAAAGCATACGCAAAAATCATGAAGGGTCTTTCAGCGAAACATCTGAAAAATGTTATGCAAGAATTTCGGCCGTCGAAACAACATGATAGGGAGGTAGAGGCGAGAGCTGAATTTAGGTTTACGAGATTACTGAGGGAATCCTCGTTTTCACACCTGATTTCCACACAAAGGCATTGTAAGCACCTCTGGTAACACCACAGTACTTGGCGCCAGAGCAATCAAAAGTGCTTCTCTATTTGTTTTCTTTTTACTTCACTGAATCAATAGCGCCTCCTCATGTGACATGTCTACCAATACATCTTTTAGATGCAAAGCAGCTCTTTGACTAGCCTGTGTAGCGCTGTCCCTCCGTACACCGTCACCGCGGACGCTCGCGTCTCGTGCCGGCCCAGGAAGACACCCGCAACACTCGCTCTCCTCCTCTTCTCTCACCTTGCAAGGCCAACGCAAGCAGCGCCTGCTAGTCTGCTAAAACCGACCGCTCGCGCTGCATAACCGTTTACTGGCCACCCCGTATATATAAGCATAGAGTTTCATAAAATTAACTAGAGGGGACACTGGTGTTGCAATTGTTCAGAGAACATGAGAATTATGGGTATGACATTTGCCTATGCGGGCGGGGAATGCACTTGTGGCTTCGTTTATTGCTATATTTTCGTTTTCTGTCGCAGAAAAGAATGAACCCTTTTGAACTTCGTGACCCGATTTTGAAATGGTAAGCCTAAAGGATTAAGGTGGTGAAGCACAACTGCTGAACATTTTATTTGCCGCTTGTTGTTTTGGGACAAAGCAGCGTCAGGCCTCGCGAAGCCAGAATGAACGTGAAGTATGAAGAGTAGGCAAATCCATATCATACCCATAATTCCCATGCTCGCTGAAGCACTATGCGTTGCAGCTCCTATAGCCACTAACGCCAGAGTTCACTCCAGTTTACATTTATGAAACTATGTATATAGGCACTGGATCGTGCGTTCAAAATTCAGTCAAGGGCGTCTTTACTTGGCTTTCGCTTGATGAGCACCAGCTTCAACGTCGCCAACTATTGTAAGCGTTAGCGCTCGCTGCTTCGAATCCACATATGGTTACCTTTAGCGGGTGATGGATCAGGCTTTTTTATGTAAATCGTCAGGAATCTAGTTTCTTGTTGTGTTCAGAAAAAAAAAAAGGTAAGGATGCTTTCTCATTTTGTTTGCGCTGAGTTCCCTCCCAAATCATTGTCTGTACACTTAGAAGACAAAGTTCATTGGTCTGAACTGCTTCGATCAGGGTAGTTTGGACCTGCAGTTTATAGCTCTGTGGCTTGGTTGCACAACAAAAAAAGCGTGCCTATTATTCTCTTCATCAGATTATTCTGCACATTACACGACGAATCCCCTCATGCCATACTGGTTTCTGATAATGGATGAGCGCTTCTTTTGACCCTAATCAACGCGTCTAATGGCAGAAGATGGTTGTCCGGAGGGCGCAGAGGAAGCAATCAGCTTTTGGTCGCAGTCATTAAATTGTGGCAATAAGGAAACGCATCTTTCTACTGATGTCTTATGAGCGAAAGATAATGAGTTTTTTTTATATGACTGAGACCATCATGCCGAGATAAAAGTGATTACTGTTACATTGCTGCCCCTAATATGTGAGCATCCAGGGGTTTTAATAAAGCACATGTTGTTCTCAGTGTGCTTAATTTTTTATACGACTATAGCGTACAGCTATGACGGGAAAACCTATTACCCACGTCGGTTTGTCTACTTTCTAGAAAATAAATCCTAATTGAGCGAATAAAAGCGATAAAGTCGTGTACGATTATTCGGCGGATGCTATCAGCCATGTACGCAACCAGGGTAACAAATATGAGCGAATGGCGAACAGAAATTAAGGTTTATCGACGTCCCTTTAATATTTGTTTATTTGGAAGTTACAAGTTATTGTATCGTTCATGAAAAGGGGCAATTCATAGTGGCAATGGTTCATAAAAAGCTTTATGAACCCGACTATAGTCAGACGAGTATTACAGAGCTCGTGCTAATACCACGTTGTACACATGAATAGAAATTAGAAGTTAATCGACGTCCGGAGAATATTCGTCTATCTGAGGGTTGAAAGTTCTTGTATCATTCATATACGGGACTATTGTTAGAGAAAGTGGTTCAAAACAGTTTTATGAAGCAGACTATAGTCAACCGAATGTCACGAAGCTAATCTTAATACCACTGAGTGTAGGCATAAGGAGACTCACCTAAAGCTCATTGTGACCAGGCACGGTTAGATAATATTGCAGGTTATGTTACTTGTGATATTGACAAGCCCAGGTTCATCGGGATTATATTTTTGATCGTGCTGAGAAAGGAGGTCCTCGTTGATTTTTGTGTTGATCTAATAGAATTTACCGAGAGTTCATTAAACTTAGTCGTAAATGACCCAACCTGAAGACGCACCATTTAAATATTTCACTGGCATCCCAATGTGCATATGAAATTTCTCGTCTCAAAAGTAAAATAAAATACATACGTTTTCAAGTTGTATAAACACGTTAAAAAGCTTCGTGTGAAAATGCTGACACATTAAAAAAACAAGACAATTCAAGCGATGTTGTGGTTGAAACTCGCGACGCACTGAATTGCACACGAAGAAAAGACACACGGAAGCACAGGTAGGACACACACAAGTGTGAACTAACAACTGTTCATTTGATGGAAAACATGACAAATGTGCATATAGGTGAAAATAAAAGAAAAATAAAAGAAAGAAAGCGTAAAACTGCCCACTGTTCATTACAAGAGAGCAACCATCTGTGTGATATCACGTCTGAACTTGTCAACTATCTAAAATTTGCATGCAAAAAAGAAAATTGATCTTCGGACAAATGCGTAGATGGCGCGCTAAAACACATGTGTTCGCCAAGCCAGCGCATTGTGAAAGCTTCAATGTTTTCGCTTTCCTCCGTATCTTTAGATGGCCGCGTGGTTACCTATGTATTTCATGTGTTTCTTCAGTCACTGCGGAATCATCGGCAATGAACGGGCCGATCAAGCTGCCCGCTCAGCCCACACAGAAGATCATAAACTGCGACTACCACTTTCTAGGACGGATGCTGCACGAGAGCTCCGCAGACTTGCTCGCCGGCAAACCACATCGCAATGGAATCAGCCGCACTTCAAGCATGCCCGACTGTACTCGCTTGACCCTACGCTAAGTCTTCAAGTCCCGTCGAGGCTTCGCCGAGCAGACCAGACCCTGTTATGTAGGCTGTGGTTGGGCGTTGCATTTACCAACGCCTACGCTTTCCGCATTGGGATGGCCGACACCGCAGCCTGTGGCCACTGTGGCAAGGAGGAAACCATTCAACATGTTCTTTGTGAGTGCCTAGCGTATAGTAGGCGGCGACTATGCTTTCGCAGGGAACTCAACAAATTAGATGATCAGCCTATGTCGGAGCAGGAAATTCTGCAGTATCGTCAGGATGTGACTTCACAGAAGAGGGCCCTGAAAGCGCTGCTGCACTTTTTGCGATTGACCGGCCTTGCTGAACGGTTGTAGCTGGGACGCCCTTCCTGTGTGTGTTTTCGTTTTTTTTTATGAGTGCGCGTGCGTTTTTTTTTTCCTCTATCTAACCCCTCTTTCTTGCCCCTACTTCCCCGCCCCCAGCGCTGGGTAGCAAACCAGATGCCAATATCTGGTTAACCTCCCGGCCTTTCCTTTCTCACTCACTCACTCTCATGTGTTTCTTTAAAAAAATTCAGTTGGAAGTTAGCACTAGTGTGTGTCGCATTCTCTTGCCTCTCGTACCAGAATTTCACGTTATATAGCAGTCCAATGAACTAGCTCTTCAAGCCCCTCGCTAAGTTATGGAGCACCCCACACGGTTAAACGGGAGCGGATAGGAGGCCAAGAATTGGCACACTCACAGTAGACCATGAGGAAGACCTTTTCGGACACACCATGACCTAGTTCGTTGGTGGCGGCGCATTGATAGTGGCCGGCCTGGTGCCTTTGCAATCGGTCGATGACGAGGCGCACTTGTTCGATGCGTATGTCGGGGCTGGGTTCGAGTTGTGCTCCTTCGTGGAGCCAGCCAACTTGCTTGACGGGAGGGTTGGCCTGCACGTTACAGTCGAAGTAGACACTGCTCCCTTCGCTGATCTGTTTGCTCGCATCGAGCGAAACCAGGTTGAGCTGCAGCACCGGTTTGACTGCAATTGGTGGTGGGGATGGGGCAAATAAAACGGGCAAGGGTGGAGAAGAGGCAAAAGAACACTTCGTTAGTCGTACATGAAATGCTCATTATTAATTTTAGGCAAAAAACGTAGCAGAAAAAAAAGACAGAATTAAAGGTCACGAGCAATATGGCAGCGAAATGTTGCGGCGCACGTGTTGTGGACAATAAATTACGACGAAAATCATGTAGATGGATGAAATTTTATTGAACATCTGGTAGATTCCAATGCAACCGGGGCTTGGGTTTTTCACCAGGTAATGTCAGCATTTTATAACAGCGACGAATCCCAATTTCTCTTCACTACCCACGCTGAGGTTTCTTCTGAACCAAGCGGCCAAGCTGGAATGTCCCGTTTATTTTTTTTCTTGCATAAAAAGAAATTTTATGTATATTATTGACAATATTGTTGCGAAAGCAAAAGAAAAAGAAAATACGAGATCTAGGGTGAATGTTTCTACCTTTAGGACCACATTTAGTTATGACAGAAAAAAAGTGTTCTGGTACGAATGTCATTCGTGCATCTTGAAACATGAGGCTGAAATTGATTCTGTACCTTTACACAGGGTATATTACCCCTCTTGTTTGAACGCAGAAAAAGCTCAATGGATCAGCTAGAAAACAGATTAATATTTCAAGTAAGATGTAGCACTCGCATAAATATTCCTCTGTGTACAATTGTTTTTTCTACCTCAAAGACATCCGATACAAGACAGGTTATCGCATTAGGCGTGGACAAAAAGTAAACACATTGCATTTGATACTTTCATTAGCAGATAATTTTTTTTCTAGATCAAGGTAGGCTAATAATTTTTGCCCATGTTAGTTATTGTCAATGAGAAATGTCTCCACAATTCTGTACTCTATTCTTTTGCACGTAGTGCATGCGTGGAACGTCGTTAAAATAAATGTTGAAGTCACCAGTCCTCTAACTGAAAGAAAATACGAATTATTGTGAGCTTCTCGTTCTATGACTATGTGCACGTTTTCTTTCATCAAACAAAACTTCACAGCTGCTGAAATCCTTGTCACTCGAATATTTTCCCTACCCTAAATTCTGACGCCCCTTAAGAACCTTTATCAAAACGAGCTTAGCAGGTTTTATTATACTGTAATCTTCACAGCGCCACGAAAGAGGCTGACAAAGACAGCCGGCACAGCAAGGGTTTTGGAGAAAAATAAGCTATCCAGTAAAAGGACGGGTATGCTTTGTTTTCGGTTATAACTGAATGAGCCCGGAAGAAAAATTTAAACATGGATACAAAGACAATTATGCGCTTTGCGCCAACCAATCCACTGGGATGCTGTCCTTTAGGCGCAGGAAAAGATTACGCTTGGCGATACCATTAACTCTCATCTACTCCTACGGTCCGACGCCGCGCTGACCGGACGGAAGGAGCCGAGTCGTCCAATATGCGGCGATAAATTTTAACGGGTTATTAAATTAGGGCCATAGCGTGAGCAAACTTTACAGCGCCTAGTTTTGAAGGGTGAAGCCAAAGGCTGTTTCACTGTGGTGAGAGCGATGTGGGAAGGTTCGGAAAGCGAGTGGGTCGGCGAACTATAGCGGGAGGAAAGACGCCGAAAAAGGCGGTGATATCGCCGACTACAATCACGTAGAAGGGGCGAACGGCCGCTGAATCGGGAAGAACGTGTAGGGATGGACGGCGAAGTTTCGACGCTTGCTCACGCGATGAGCATTCCTTAGAGGGTTGTTTGCGTGGGCTCTACTTTGTTTTTACATTGCGCGTTCGTGCAATATCGTGAACAGTACGACAAAGCCTTGTGTTATGGTGTACTTAAAAAAAAACTGGGGAGAGAGCGCGTGCCAGTCAGCTTCCAGGCGAGCCTTGTGTCCTATTACGTGGCGAAGCTGGAGAGATGACAGCTTTTATTCGCCTTGTATCGCGTCTTAACCTTAATTGGCATTTGTCACAATGAGAACCTCGGTCATTCTGAAACGCATTACGCTCGTAGAGAGGGCATCCTATTTTCTAATTTGGGAAGAATTTGAATAATATAAACGAACGTGTACAAAGAAACCTGTGAAGAGGGGGAAGGCGGAATTGATGTTAGATGAATAACGCATGAAATGGGTGGAAAAATTTTATGTGAAAATTTCAGAAAACTGTATGCAGTGAAGAGCGGAGAATATGTGAGCGAGTCGACAATAAGCTTCGCTTCTTCCAACGCAACTAATCTTTTTTTCGCAATTTTCACTCATTGAAATGCACGAACACGCGTTAAAAATTTGACACATATTTGCTCAGTGAGCGTAACACACCTAAGCGTTGCTATGTTCGACTTATCTCCTTCACTTTTAATTAAAAAAGTCCATTATTATGTATGCATGAAATCACTTTCCCTCTAGAAGCGACTAACGTTGCGAATAGTAAAACGAGCGTAATCAGATAACAAGTATGAGTCTGAACGATTTAAAGAAGGCGCTATTTAGGGCTTGACTTCATTCGTAATGTTAGAAAGTGAACTGAACCGAACCTAATAGAAACTGACGTCAGATATTTGCACTTTCAAACGTTCATTGATGAAATTGTGGTTGATATTTAATAAGAAGCATAAAAAAAGAATTGACCGGCTGCCATCTGATGGGGCTGTAGCAGCGACAGCTTTGAAAATTCTAATGACTGATTTTTCGGTTTTCATTAAACTGCAATAAGCTATTGATTATTCATGAGCAAAGTCGAGGGCTAATAATAGGATGCCATCAAGAGTGTCTTCAAGATGCGTGACAAAAATGAGGCACAGAATTTCTAAACTGCCACAACACAAAAAATACTACAATCTATCAGTTTATGAATTAGCCTACAATGCTTGAACGAAATAACAATAAATCAGTAGTTCATTTATTTATTGCCAAAATACAAATGGAGCCTCATATATATTGTTTGCTTGTATTTTTGTCATAGCGATGCATTTATTGGCGCGGCTATAGTGTCCATAAAACCCCATTTAACTCAGAAATATTTTCGATCTACACCACGTATGATCATACCACCTGAGGTAATCTATGTTATTTGAAATATTACTAGACAGAACATCCCAAACGACCCGCATACGTTGGCTAATTGATTATACACTATATATGTCACATTGAAAGCTTCACATTTAACTCTCTTGATGTGTAGGTGCTAGTTCGCGGATCCCTTTTTATATAGCATGATCAATTGCAGCATTGCGCTACCTTGGGGTAAAACTATGAATGTTTCTGCGAAACTCGGAACTCATTCAGTTAACTGCTGTTAGCATGTCACCAACCCGGTCCTCTAGGTTTTTGTGGAAACTTTGCTGATAGTTGGTAAAGAACTAAAGAGAACAACGTGGATGATGTATATTAATAGCGCAACTTACGTACTCCAAGAAATCGTACACGTGCTTCTCGCTTGCTTCTATTAGTCGTTTTGCGATATCTTGTCAGTGACATGACAGATCGGACACAATATAAGGACACAAACTTAATCTAAAGATTATCCAAAGCACATGAGTTTATAACGAGCCACGACACGAAATGCTCAAACATGGGCGTTTGTTATTGCTGTGTCTCACGTTTGTTTTAACCATGAGAAGCCAGCTAGCGTGATACAAGAAGCTAACGGCGCGTCCGAGAATCAGTAATGTCAGGCAAGCACATAGTATTTTGCAATTGAAGTCACTGCATGCATGCATTCACAATATTGAACTGCTTGGTTCATACAGAGTGTCTGGGCTATCTTTAGCCAGAGAGAGAGAGAGAGAGAGAGAGAGATAAATAGAGAGGAAAGGCAGGGAGGTTAACCAAGCTTGGCTCGGTTGGCTACCCTACACTTGGGTGGGGGAAAAGGGGAATAATAGAACGAAAAGAGACAGAAAAGAAGAGGAGTAAGAAAGAGAAGCATAAATAGTCAGCTCGAAACTACACAGCACGGCCTCGCACAGTTCTTTCACAAGCGGTCGTGAAGTTTGGTGTTCCTTAAAAAGTACAAGAGGGCTTTCGTGGCTTTGCGCGTATGGGAAGCTGTTGGCCAAGGTCCCAGGATCTTCTCTTCTGTAAGCGGCCGTGAATCCAGCTGACAGAGCTTGGCTTCCATAATACGTCGTTCGGTCTGGTATGCCGGGCAATGACATAGAATGTGCTCAAGCGTTATCCTCGTTAGTATAGTGGTCAGTATCTTTAGCCAGAGTTTAAAAATATGTCGATACATGCAATGCCGATACACGCAATGATGACACGGTCAGGTGCCTGTTGCTGGCTCTTGTCTGGAGTGAATGAGACTATTTATTTTGGTTTGATCAATTGGTAATAAGACCCTTTTAACCAACTAACTTCTGAAGGAACAAAGATGGGTAAACAATTTCAATGAGAAAGTTGGAAATCGGTTTACAAAACGTCTGATTAGACTGTTTCAAACTTTATATCTGTAATGAATAGTTAGGTTCTGCTAACTACAAATCCCCGCGAAATACAAATACCACGTGACATACCCTCGGTAAAATTAACTTGAAATTTACCTTGTTATGAATTGTTGTTCACATTATTATTACTATAATTTTTTCTCCTCAAGAATCAGGATAGTCGACCAAGCTTCTTATCGGTTACCTTGACTGCATCTGATTTTTTATTTGTCTTATTTTTACATTTATGAAAGAAACAATACTTGCAATGAAGAGAGAGCGCCTCTTTGCATCGTGACTTAAAAGAAATGACTCTTATGTTATGCCTTAACGTGTCAATGCCACTCGCGAATAAGGACACATTGCAACAGCAGTCGAGCGAAAACCTAAAGGAACACTGAACTATGCATTCCCTCCTCCCAGTTCAAGTTAGTCTGGTTTTCAAAGTGGTGCATTCAGCCGGATTATTCAGCCGATAGTATTACCTTCAGAAATAACAGAAATGGAATCCACTTCAGCTTAATTTAGGTTTACCCGAGCTCGTGTTATGATGAAGAACGTGTTCTTCCAATTTCACTTCTTTTTTTTTTTTAAGGGGAAGTGGTGTGAGCAGTATTTTACACATGAGTGCACTTTTCTCTTATCGTCGAATAAAACAGTGTGTACCTAACAACTCAAGCCTGTAATGAAAACAACTCTGTCTAGCTCTGTTCAGACTTCTTTTCATAAAGTAAAAAACTATTTTTGCACGTACACAACGCTTTCATGGTAGCAAGCAATTATAGGAGACTGGAAGGGCCACTGAGTTGAGCTCATTTCAAGCATCTTTACCAAACGAGAAAGTTTAAGAGTACATTCAGGAAATGACAGTGTGCACACAGCCTGCAAAGCATCAACAAGTTACGTGGGCCTAGTCATTTAAAGAGAGCAGGTACAACTTTATGCACAAACTGCTTATTTTGCTCATGATTGTCGGTAGTGAAGTCCTTTGTATTTCTGAGCACGAATTACCAAATAAACAGTGCTTGCCTTATTCCACCGTCACTTAAGACAGTTATACGTTTTCGTTTGTTAGACCGGTGCTCAAACGAGCTTTTTGAGTAGAGAAAAGCTCATGCAGATGTAATAGACTGTGAAGGCATTCGCTAGTTTTTGACAACGAGTTATAAAGTGATCAATGATGTGCGCCTATTAATATGATTCAGAATTTTAATCAGGTAGAAGTAATTGAGTAGATACATCTTAGAATTTTAATTAGGTACAGAAGACGAAATTGAGTTTGGGGCACCAGAAAGTAGCCTGCATGAGACGACTAGTGAGGTTTAGACGTATTAGCGAGTCTGGTCTAGTTTATTCTCATTATTTTTAACTTCACAGATTGTGCATGGCTTGTTCATTGCTATAGTGATTACAGGAATATTCAACATGACTTTAATTATTCACAGTAGCCGTATTGCCTATTATAATGCATTGTTTGTTTCAGAAAGAAAGGACAAAAAACAAGAAAAAATCAAACTGCATAAGGGTAACCAAAGACCAGCTTTGTTCGCTACACTTCAATTGCGGAGAAAATGAAAATAATCATATCAGGAATATAATAGTCCAGAGTGTGGTATTCCCTATGTGAGGGTGAAAGCGCGCGAGTGCTGCCGGACTTACGCTGCTCAAGCAGAGATGAAACAAGCCGGCCCTGAATCACGCAAAAAGCGCATAGAGATAAGTGGCGAAGTCGTGGGTGGTAAGGAAGGAAGGGGTAGGGGGGGGGGCTGTGAGGGTGGCATGCTTCGCGCAAAAAATGCAAATGATGGCTGAGCTGGCATGGTCACTCACTGTCGGGCTCGTATCTTGAGACAGAACCAACAAACGACTGATTCTATCTAAAGGGACCATATCTTTGTAAATGGTGCACAAAGCTATGACACGTGTCTTTCGGCGTGTCAGTAAGTGGCTCATAGTCTTGTAAGTGGTGCGTGCTTATCATAAAATTTGCGTTAAAGCAGTGTCTTTGTATAAAAGCCAATCGGTTGCTATCGTGATCATTGTTTTGGCCTTGTGATGAAGCTGACTTTTCAGTATTGAAAGTGAACGTGTGGATCTAGCCATCCAGAATTTATTGAATACTTATGTACGAGACTGATGTGTAACCCATGTATGATCCATAAATTGTGTTCTTTAAAACTAAAGTGCCATCTTTTGTTAACTTCCCTTTCCTGGATTTATTGTTATCAACATATCCGTACTCAGCCGATAAATTAAGCAGCTCCCATCGCTGAAAGTGAATTATGCGCCGCGCGTGTTTACGTCAATGAGTGAAGAGAAGAGGGTGCTAAAAGGCGAGTTAATTCCTGGAACGGGATTGTTAAACTTGGCTTCCCCGCAACACCACAACAAGGAGTGTTTTACCGAGCATCCCTAATGTAATCAACTATAGTGTACCAGCGTTGTTTTGTTGGTGTGAACTGTGACGCCAGATGTTGGTACACTCCACTCGAGTCCTTTTTTTGTGCATACCGTCTCACACAGCGTCTTAAGTATTCAGAATTACCCGACTAGCACGCACCAAAGTACTTATATTTGGTGTAACATGCACATATAAATGCGTACGCAAGAAGGACACGTGAATAGGACAATGCGTCCGAGTTCATGCGCCTTGCTTGTGTTTGCGTTGTAAGTGCAACTATCATTCAACGATCACTAATGCGTGATAGTAGGAGACAACAAGCGTGAGTCTGTGCTTATAAGAACGCTGACGGCGTGATGCCTCGTTTGACGAGATGCTGTGCGCCTATTTGTGCCTGCATATGCATAGGGCACCACTGTGTGAACAGTAACTACGTTCATGTTGCTGTTGTTCAGCATGTAATCAGCACTGTCTTTGTGAGGAAGAATTTATTTGCGTGCTTGTCCAAAAAAATATCACGTGACCGCACTCAGCATATTTTCTCAGTAACGTTCAAAGCAACAAAAGTAACTGACTTGAAAAAGGAAGGCGTATGGCCACCTATATTTTTTTTTATTTCCCTTTTGCTGTATTTGGTTTACGCAAAAGTATACTGTCAGTAATGCTCAGCGCAAACCGCAATTTGAATGATCAAGAACCTTCACGATAGTAGTAGATTGTTTTGTTAAGAAGGCGCGAAAGAAGCCAACATTGCAGATTCTTCTAGAACTTACGAGGCCGCTAGCGATAACACTTGAATATTACACGGCACAGTGATAAATACCACTGCTGTTCACCGCTTGTCACTTGATCGACAGCCGATGCTCTGTTCGTCGCTATCAGTGCCCTGAGCAAAGCTTCAGTTTCCCATCCACAAGTTCGGCCAAATAGAGTTCCTTTTTGACACGCTGACTGTTGATTTGTCCGATCACACGACTACGTGCCAGTATTACAATCTCCACTCTAGCACCAAACAAGAAAAAAAGCATAAGCGCTGTCTTAAAATATTCTGCCTTGTCAAGGCCAAACATGCCTTGAAATGCGAATATTTTTTTTATGTGTGTGAAGCAATAGTTTCCTTCCTATTTTATTGCTACAGTAAGGTTATTGACAATTTTTGTACTCGAACCACCTTACTCCAGGTTTCATTATTCGTAATATAGTATTTGCTAAAAGCAGCTAAGGCTTAGTGCACCAATAGCTTGCTTTGAAATACCTGCAACAAGCACAGCCTTTTAATTTTGCCATTGTAACCAATGCAAGTATATGCTGACTGGTACTTTTAATCAACCCTACTTGTGCACTATGTATGCAGCTTTCTTCCGAATATATTAGCGAAAAATAGCGGCAGATACGTAGGCACGAAAAAACAAACAAAACGAAACCAGGACGTTATCTCTATTATGTATCAGTTTCTTTTAAACAGTAACTTTTCCGGAAGTAAGCAAACACGAACCAGAAAATGAAATACTACTTTTTGTGAGTACGTCCTATATGTGAGTTGCAACGTTCGAAAGAAACACGCATCAACCTGCCCCTGACAATATTTACTAAAGTAATTCACGATTACGGGACGAATAGATGGCGCTCGCCAACTCACAATGCACGTCGAGAATCCAATAGTCGAACAGCTCGCTGTCGGGAAGGTGCGGGTTGAAACCACGGCAGCCGAGCCTCCTGCCGTTCATGTCGGCGTGCGCTTCGAGGTGGAGCACGCTCGTGGTGCGCGTCGCGTCCGTGGCCAGCGTGGAGCCGTTCAGTGGGACGTCGTCCAGGAACCATTGTATGGCCGCCTTGGGCTGGGCGCCACGAGCCTGGCATTCCACGTCGATCACTTGGCCGTCCAACAGCACGGGCTGTGACGTCACGATGTCCACTTCCAGCGGACGCACTGCGCCACGAAACAAAAGTCGTAGTATAACTTGAACTGGGCAAGTTGGTTCATACTTTAAGAAAACTGGTGAGCGCAAATGAAGACAAGGACACAGAAAGACCAGACAAGGACCGGTTTTTGTATATCCTTGTGTTTATTTGCGCACACCGCTTTAGCCCATAAGTCGTATCACTGTCACGTCGCAGAAGCAGACAAACGATTACTTTGCGTTGTTTATGAATGAATGAATTTCTTGCCAAGAAGCTACCAGTATTGTGTAAGTTGGCTGCGCACTTCTTCAATTGTCCACGTAGGCTGAATTAGGCAAGACAAAGAAGCTAGCACATAGGAGAACTAATAATCGAAGCGTTCTTTATGAACTATAGATCGGGCAGCGATCGTATAAGTGCATCATACGTAGCGTTAAATTTAGATACTGTTACATTTTTAAGCGAAGGCTTTCGCGAAAATCGATGACTTGCTTCATGACTACAAGAAACGGGCTCGTTGAAGCTTGTTACATCACACCTTCTTGTTATTGCATCACACTTGTTGGCGTCATCGCACACGTCATCATTCACTGCTTGTGCAAATATAGCTGACGAGCGAAAGTGGATGAGCAAAACGCTGCTATCTCTCAAGCTTTGGGTAGGTTTTCTGTTCCTTGCGGGTTTGTCTGTGTGTACTTATGAAGCACATCATTACCGTCAGTTATCAAATGGTTACTGTGTTGCTTTCGCACTGCAAACGTCGGCAGAGCATGTTACTCTATTGCTAAAAAAACACTATAGTGGAGATAGAAGATGGGGAAGGAACAAGATTTGGAGAAGCTGGTCACTGTGCAATTCTACTGGTTAGCCATTTGTACTCTATCCCCATAGTGTGTAAGTACAACAGGTACGTATCTCTTATATCCCGGTATGTACCAGGTTTAGGAGTTTGGTAATATTGAGGGAAGTTGGGAATAAATGCTGTATGACAAAAGCAAAGGAGCTATTGGAAATTCTTCCACCAAGGGAGTGAGTCTAAATACGTATCTTCTACCCTATGAAGGGGTTTTGGCCATACCTCAAGCGATAATAAGGCATAAAATAAGCATAAAATCAAACAAGTTCCTAAACGAAGATAGGGCATGACCTGCCATGGTACTGAGAGAATATTTACACTGCTATTTGTCCGTTAGCTTCCCGAATACGTTCTTACTGATTAAACGGAAGCTAAAATCACTCTTGTGGTTCTTCTCTACACTTAATGTGCATGCAAGATTGCTTATAATATGGTCAGTTACATAAATAAAAACATGGTTGAGGGCGAACAAGTTTTAGATACTCAGGACATCGACAGGCGTTTTCTCTAAATACTTGTTGTACGTCACCATAAAGGCTACGCAAGTAGGTTCATTATTTCAAGGCTAATACACTGAGAGTGAAGCCATTGAGAGTGAAGCCATTGAGAGTGAAGCCATTGAGAGTGAAGCCATTGAGAGTGAAGCCAAATGTAATGTGTACTCGCGTCCATGCTTAAGCCCTTGTTCAAACATTCTTCAGTAATCTATTGATTACTGTGGTGGGGAAAAAACTACGCAGAAGTGGCCATATGGAAAAGGCAGCAAGAAATAACGAGCGCAGCGCATCATTGAAGATATTGACCGTAAGCGGTGAAAGCTTTTAACGAAGGATCCCACAAGCGAGAACCGAAACTGTGTGTGTGTGTGTGTGTTTTGATGAGGAGGAGGAGGCTCTCTAGGTATAAAGTAAAAGAAAACGTGTAGCTTTTCACGCGACGTGAACGGAATCTTTTCATCTGGTTCTCGTTGAGAGGGAAAAAATGAAAGAGTTGAAACAAACAAAGTTCTCTGGGTAACTAATGAATGTAGCGAGAGAAGACGGTAAAGACGAAACGCGTTGTGACTAAAGAACAGAATAATCAAATGGACACTCGAACTCCACATTTGTACAATAGGAAAACACACGTATATCCACGGGCTCTGTCACGGTACTGAGCACCGATCCACGTTCAAGGAGGTCGTGTCTTTTTTTTCCGCTCTCTTACTCTTCTTCACTCTTTATAGTACAGGTTACACAAAGCGAGTGCACTCCGCATGTTTGCCCCCATCTTCCTGGCCCGGCTCTCACCCTAGACCAAACAGCAGGGAATCCTGGCTTACTCAAAAAAAAAAAGAAAAAGAAAAACAAAAGAATATAAAGGAGTATGTCTGTTGCAAACGAAATCGTAAGAGACCAGATCGGACGTTCCTCTTGTAAGCACTATAGAAAAGAAGGTCCTTCTGGGCGCGCTGGTGGCTAAATCCCACATTCAGCGCTTCGCTATTATGTTCGTGTGTTTGTGCGTAATAAGACTCTCTCTGTCACTGAAACTAAGAGCCCGGCCAGCGGTGAATGAATGCGCAAATTATGCAGCTGCAGTTGAGTAGGAGAGCCCGTGTAGTCGAAAGAGAGGAAGTGGCCGACGCGGCTGCGCGCTCTTGCATGTTTCCTGCGTGCGTGCTTCTATCTGTACACGCCACTAGGGCTTGCGCTTGTGTGCGCGCGCCACCTACATGCCTGCTAAAAATTCATGCGTGCGCAGGAAAGAAAATAAAAAGCCCCACTTAAGCGAACGTATCCCGGTGACCGCCTTGTGGCAGTTCCCGGCCATTTCTACAGATAAATAACAGGAGTTTTCGTTGCGTTCAGGTTAGCGTTCCGGTAAATTTTATTTCTCCGATTTTCTCATCCGGCAAGCTCGAGCTTTTTTTGTTCGTATCACTGCAAAGCGGATGCAGAGCGTCGGTGCCCTATAAACGAAAAGGCAAACTTAATACGAAAACGAGCGCTTCTTTCTTTAAACGGGAACGAAACTGGAACCGAGTCGATTCAGTGGCGTGGCAAGCGAATGCAGTAGGAGGCGCCTGAATTGTATCAAGAATAAATGTAAGAGCGGTAAACGAAAGATGCGGGGCAAACGGAGAAGGAGCAGGCAAAGAAATCCGGAGCGACGAAACAGTGTAAGAGCAGGATGAAGAAGCCAGCGTCGGCCGCTAACAAACGCGCGGCTTCTCTGACGCCCGACGAAGAGCGCCTGCTCTCGACATTTCGACTTGCCGCGGCGGATTCAACTTTTGAAAAAGCGTGTACAGTGGGCGATCTCCCGCTCGGCTATAAAAGGCCGGGGAATAGGCGGTGGGCGTGCGCCGCCCACCAAAATAAGGTGGCGTGAACGGTTACTCAGACGCAACTTTCGTCTATTGAGCTTGCTCTCCTCTACTTCTTTTCTCGAACCTCTCTTTGTTTTCCCAGGTTGGCGGTAATGAGCTTGCCACGCTTTTGTTTTTTTAACCCGTTTCGAGAATGAGTATGCTAAATATTTTGATGAATTTCCGGATTTGTCGTTGACTTCTTTGCTTATCCGAAACCAAAAACGGGACTCCGAGGATCCCAAGAGAGAGGAAGGTGTGGACTACGAAACATTGCTGAAACCACAAAGCCATACACGACAGAGACGTAAACAACAGCTGTATGCGAGCGTGTCTTCCGAGGCGTTTGAAACAAACGTACGAAAATCAAACCCGCATCGGCGGCACCGAGGCGCAAGTCACGAGGACGAGGCGCTGCAGTTGATGCACTTAACACCACCGACACTCTATTGTGTGGCGGGCGCACGCTTTGTGTATACCCTTTCGCTTGTGTTGTTTTTGTCTTGCAGACACACAGACATGTTGTGGGCGAAGACACGTATGGAGTGAAAGCGGACCTTCACTCCAGAGGCGAAGGCCTGCTCGCAACAGAGAAAACGCACGTGATTACCTTTTCACGTGACAATGGCTGCCACTCGATTTATTCTAAGCAGGAAGGTACGCGCCAAGAAGTTTTGAGAGGGGAACGGAGAAAATGGAAGGATGACGCGGGATGTCTAGCGAAAGTGGAATGCTTCTCTTTTCTTGACACTTCCTGGCACTGTTAAAGCAGTATTTTTGCATGCTCAGAGCTTCAAGTACGTGTAAGCAAAAACACCACAAAAAAAGAGAAGTTACGACTACGCAAGATGTTGGGCTTGCTCTCCGCATTCACTTCTTACTTTTTTCAGCGTCAACTAGGAATGAACAAGGTGAGAGACAGAGGGGGAGAAAGTACAGTGAAGGCAAGGTTATGCTGAGCGTGACACGAGGTTTAATAGGGGAAAGAAAGACGAAAGACACCTACGTGAAGCTGCGTTTTTTTGCGTGAAACAATGCGAGCGTAAAAAACAAAAGGACGACGGTTCAACGGCAATGAAAAGGCAATAGGTGAGGGAGTGCAGACTAAATGAAGCGACAAAAACGAGAGAGACTGTAAGAAAATGAAGTATTTAGAATGGGGGAGCCAAAGTTATCATGAATGCAGGGAAACTCTCGGGAGAAAGCCCGTAAAGACCAAAAATATACCTTCTTTTTGCTTCCAACGCTACGACAATAAAACTCCGACGAAAGAAAATCAGTGTTTCATTTCTAAAGCGGAACAAACGGCCACCATTTTTTTACAACTTTCAGGAAAAAGAATGCAAACAGAAGCTAACAACTAAAATAACGAACGCAAAAGGAAGGAGACAAAGTTTTTTTATGAAAATAAAGAACACAGCGAACTGACCAGAAAAGCAAGGAGGAATGTTATCGCAAGACCACAGGCGCAGCCATCATTCGGCCGTCTCAAAGAAGAAGCCACTGGCTTCTCTCACGCACCAGACTGTCAGTGCAGCGCCCTTCAGCAACAACTCGTTCACTCAGAAAACAAAAGAAAGGAAAGAAAGAACACGAGCGAGTCACTATAGCGTATGTTCCCGCTACGCAAGTGGAGCGAAACGTGACGTTTCCAGGTGGGAATTCGAATGAAGCGAAAGGACAGAGCACGCCAGTGCTGTTTCTGTTTGTGCTGTTATTGTGCATGAACGAGGGACTGAAAATGCAAGCGTGAGTGCTTCGCAGATGTCTACGCTGAAGATCACGTGCGGGCATGTCAAGCCTCCAGCGTTGAAGTTCGTCT